TGCCTTTAGTTTTCCTGCTCCTGATGTAGACGAGGTCGCGGCTGCGATCTCCTCATCGGCCCTGGCGATCTAACACGGCAATCCCTCCTAATATGCCCTTGACGCCCACACCTGTAACATTCTAGGCGCCCTCCATGTTGTCTAGAACTGCCCGTCTTGATTTCGGCAATTATTTCGCGGGCGAGTTTCTCAAAGTTCTCGCTCATTTTGTCGAGACTCTCTTGAATAGGGTTTACTTCGCCCTCAACCCCAATGCCTCGTATCTTAACGTTGGAACGAGGTGAGCTGTTGTATGCGGCGTCCACTTCTAACGCTCGAATCAGCGCCTCGGATGGTTTCTTGAACCCGGAGATTTGCAGGACTCTTCTTACCTCACTATCTCTTACGCCGTTTACGAAGGTTTCTGCTGCCAGTCTGTCTTGGAAGTCTTGCGGAGCTTCAGGATAGGCGAGGTGTACCAAGCGTTTAACATCAGCCGCAAACTCCTGAAGAGATTCACTACTCTTCTGAATCCTAGATTTAAGCTGCGCTACGAAAACTTGCCGGAGGTGTTCATCTCCAAATCTGAGTTCAAGGGCGGTCGTCAAGGCGGTATAGTCCTTCTGGTTCTCTTCTGATAATGTCTGTAGAATCTCCAGGGCCGCACCTCGTAGTGCTACTACCAAAGCGGTCGCTTTCTGTTGGTCATTCCAGCTATTCGACAAGGCCGCAGCTTCAAATTGCTTCTTATAAGTAGTCCACGACGTCTGCCCATCGAAAATAGGGGGTTGAACTCTCACCGGACTGAATTCTGCAGGGGTCGTAATTGTAGGTCGTGGTGTTTGCAACCTTTCTTCGAGCTCCTTGATCTTGTTTTCCATTTCATTTCTCACCTCGTCCACTTCATTTCGCATGACTTGGAGGATTTCACTTCGGCTGTTCAAAAGTGTAGTTTGCATAGCTTTTAGATTTTCTTCCATTATTCTTCGATCTTCTTTTCTACTTTCTTCCATTATTCTTTGATTTTCTTCCATTATTCTTCGATTGTCTTCCATTATTCTGCGATCTTCTTTTCTACTTTCTTCCATTATTCTTTGATTTTCTTCCATTATTCTGCGATCTTCTTTTCTATTTTCTTCCATTATTCTTTGATTTTCTTCCATTATCCTGCGATCTTCTTTTCTATTTTCTTCCATTATTCTTTGATTTTCGCTCAACATTTTCATCATTTTGGTCAGTTGTTCCTCCATGTTGGCTGTTTGCGCTCTTGTGGTAGTCGGCATAAAATTTTCTTCTAGAAACTTCTAGAGTCTTGACGGACGTCGCGCGAGAGAATTTTCTCGAAAGTTCACTTTGTTCCGGTCTCCCCTAGTAGCACCAACACAAATTCGAATCCCGATTTATTTCACAATTAATCCCACTTCTGACACCAGTGTTACGATTGACGCTGCGAATAATAAATCGGGCGTTGGTGAAACTCAAATATTTATTTCTTTAGCTCGAATTACAACACTATCTATTGCAACGAATATGTACAGAAATTAATCCGGCGCTCTTGACTGTCTTCACTGACTGAATGAATCCATTACCTACGGTCGCCTCTATTTAAACCCATAGTCTCTGATCGAGATCCTTCACGAACATCCATCGCGACTCCGCTTCGAGACACCCCTGGACGCCGCTTCGAGACGCTCCAGACCTGTCTTTATGCGCCCGCCTCTCGGCCGTCAACAGCGATGATTCACCCATCAGCGCCGTGCGTACGTCCAGAAGGCTCTCGACCGCCATAGGCGTCGTACTGGGGCGGCGTAAGGGTGTATTTCGTAACAATACTATGACGAAGGTCTAATTTAAAGTTTTTTTATGCACACAATTTTCAGTTTTCTTTTATATCTGTAATTTATTAATGTATCCATAATTTTGATAAACATTTTTGGCTCACGATTCAGAGGACGTGGGAAGTCTGTCCAAACTTTATACAGGATGTTTAAAAAATTTGTCTAAAGAGTTTAGACTGTACTTCCCTCGCTGTCGGAAACGTGATGACTCCTTGTCTATTATGTTTTTTTCGCAGTAGATTTCATTATTTTTTTTGAGTCACCCGGTATATGCAAATTCAAAAAATATGAATGGAATGATAAATTACAAGTACAGACTCATCATATTTTGTATATGTATTCTAGATAGGATTTATTCGGCAAACTTTTGAACTGACGTCATCAGTTTTTTGTAGAAGATAACCAAATATATTTTGACTAAAAATTTATTATGCTCTTTATAACCTTAAAACATTTGCAAGATTTCAAAACATTCGGTTCTGGAGTTCCTGATTAAATCAATAAAATACATTTACCCATTCATTAATTTTTTTTGGTCACCCTGTATATGCAAATCCAAAAACTATGAATGGAATGATAAATCACAAGAAAAGACTCATCATATTTTATACATTTTAGATAGGATTTATTTAGCAAAATTTTGTGGTGACGTCATAAATTTTTTAGGGGGGATGAGCAAATACATTTTGAACAAAAACTTACCATGCTTATGATAACTTTAAAACACCTTCAAGATTTCAAAGCATTCGGTTTTGCAGTTCCTGAGTAAATCAATAAAATAAATTTACGCATTCATTAATTTTTTTGAGTCACCCTGTATATGCAAATCCAAAAAATATTAATGGAGCACAGACTCATCATATTTTGTACATTTTACATAGGATTTATTTGGCAAATTTTTGAGCTGACGTCATCAAGTTTTTGGAGGTGATAATCAAATATATTTTGAGTAAAGATTTATGATGCTCTTTATAGCCTTAAAACATCTGCAACATTTCAAAACATTCGGATTAGCAGATTCAAAATTAAATTGCAAAATGTTGTTTTATAATTTTGATTTTTTTTTCCAAAAATCTGGACGTTTCGGGTAAAATATAATATAGTCGTAAACTACATGTTTAGGACTATATTATTTTATACAATTTAAAACCCATTTACTATGTACAATTTTGAAGTGACGTCATCACATTAGTGGTGGGGATGATTAGACAAATTTTGGTTAGCGTTTTACCATCTATATGATATTCCTAATATAAGTACAAAATTTCACAACAATCGGCCCAGTACTTTCGGAGATTATTATCTGTCTAATAAAAATCCGGGACGGCAGACAGAGGGACAGACGGACGGACAGACGGACGGACAGACGGACAGACGGACAGACGGACAGACGGACAGACAGACGGAAATGGGAGACCTATTTCTTCGTCTTCTAGGGGTCATGAAATATCGGGAAAACTTAAACGTAGAGAGTCGGCCGACGGACTTGATTACAATACTTCCTTTGCTTACACTCGGGAAGTAAAAAGCAATATTTTATCAGTGTTAATAATAATAATAATAATAATATATATTTCGCCTCATATTGTACAGAACAGGAGGACATGTCAATTAATTACAATATGTACATACTTAATTATTCAATATAAAATATAAAATGTAACCAAAAAGGAGGAGCCAACTATAGTAAACCGAACCCTAACAGAGCATGCATTTTAAAATCACACACAATTTTTACAAACATTAGTAATGTATATATTAACAATTTTTCTTAGACATTAATTGTTGCCAGCTTAGCTACTAAAAATTCATCTACCGTGTAGAAACAGTTGCCCTCTAATATATTCCGGACGGTTGACTTGAATAGAGGAAGAGGCTTTTCTTTCATCTTTTTAGGGAGAGCGTTAAACAGAATAGCACTAGTGTATTGCGCTGATTGTTGTGCTTTTTTAATACGGTGATATGGGATTACGAAGTTATCTTTATTTCTAGTGTCATAACTATGATAATTAAGATTCCTTTTAAATTTGGTCTCATTAATTTTTGCGAAAACGACAGACTCTAAGATAAATAAACATGCCAAGGGTAGTAACTTCAGTTTCTTAAACAACTCACGGCATGATTGAAATTTTGATTTCTTTAGCAAGGCTCGAACAGCTTTCTTTTGAATCAAAAAAATTCTGACTGCACTCGTAGAGTTTCCCCATACGAGAATGGAGTAACGCAAGAGACTCTCGAAGTTACCTCTGTAGAAAACTAAAGCGGTTTCGAGATCACAGTAGTCTAAAAGTTTCCGTATTTGATACACAACTGAAGATAGTCTGCCTGCTAAATAATCTATATGTCCGGTCCATAGGAGACGATTATCAATTACTACTCCAAGAGACTTTATTTTGTTAAGTTCGCCAATTAAATTGTCTATTTTCAATGAGAAAGTTAATGATGTTGTCTTTTCTGCATTCATAACTAGCCTATTGTCGTCAAACCACTGTTTTGCTGAGCACATACTGTTTTTTTGCATAAGTTTTAGGTTATCCATACCACTTGCGCAGTTTACCAAAGTGGTATCATCGGCAAATAATATATGACTTTGCGCTGTAATCCCCATAGGCAAATCGTTTATAAACATTATAAAAAACAAGGGCCCTAAGACAGACCCCTGCGGTACACCACACTCTATTTTAGCCAACTGTGATTTCTCCTTTTTTTTTCTACACACTGATATCGGCTTGTGAAGTAGGATTTAATTAAGTCATGAGGCAACTCCCGAATGCCGTAGAACTCCAATTTTTTTAATACCAACTGATGATCTATGCTATCAAAAGCCTTGCTAAGATCTAGAAAAGAAGCACATGCTAATTTCTTTTCGTCCAGTGCAGTTAAAATTTCGCTTTCCAATTTTAACAATGCCATTGTTGTTGAACACCCTTTTCTGAAGCCAAATTGGCTGTCTACAAGTAAGTTGTGGTTGTCAAAAAATGATGCAAGTCGCCTATAAAGCAATATTTCAAAAATTTTAGAAAGCGCCGGCAATACAGAAACTGGACGATAGTTTAGACAATTATTAATGTCACCCTTTTTATATATAGATCTATTATCAGTGTTGCACTGTATGTGTCACAATTGAAATTTTTACCCCCACTATAAAGTTCATTCTAACATAGTAGTGTGTGCAATATTTACCTTTTACATGTTTTTTCGGGTCACACCTCCACAGTTCCGATGAAGCTGTTTCCATGTGAGGTTTAATAGTTACCACTAAATTGTTGGTTCTTGTTTGAAATTCTTCGTTAAGATCCTCTAACTCTTTATTAAAATCACCTATTAAAATTAGTTTATTAATTTTACAAGATAAATCGAAAAGTATGAAGATGATAGGACGTAAATCTTACCAATTTTGTGTATTTTTTTGATCATGTAAGATGTATATGTAACGATGTAACTTTTCAGATTCATCATGAGTAGTTCATTCATAAAACTGTGTATTATCTGGGCAACAGATTGTTTTTCTGTGCAAAAAAGATCGTCGTCTGTGCGCTAGAGACAAATATTTGTCTTTATATGGTTTAGATGGCATTGAACGAACTTACGTCAAAACGGTTCAAAAAATGATGAAAGAAATTAGGAGCTATTACTTGTTGATATACCGCTTCCATTAAAAACGGGACCGAGCTAGGATTACCAGATACTACTCCTTCAGCAAAATTAATCAAAGTTGAATTTTCATATTTCTCCATATCTCTGATATATTTTTCCATAGTCCCGTAATATGTATTCAGGTAGATTTGCTTACTGCGGATATCATGTAACACTAACTCTAACTGAATTGCTTTCCGTAAATTTTTTAACATCCGTGAAATGACATCAATTTTTTCGTCTAAAAAATTTACTGAGCAAAACGTGACAAAATAAGTTTCTTACCTACCAATTTGATTAATTCGCTGACTGATTTCTCCAATCTGGACTGTGATGGTATCCAAACGCGAAAATAAAAGTTTTTCCTTTTTAGTGTCAATATCAACTATGTCAGTAAGATCGCTTACTGTCAGAAACGTATCGAATAAAGTCTTTGTAAGTTCAGTTATCGTTGCACTGAGATCGAAAACGGTTAACGAGGAAACAGGCTCCACAAAAGGTAGGAATGCGATAACCAAGAAAAGCAAGACAGCACGACCCATTTTTGCACTTTAAATTTGAAAACTGTGCTTGATAATGAACTGTAGTAAGAGGATTATTTATAAAAACAGTTAGTTATCTAGATGTGTAACTCGAGATTAGTTATCTTTGCAAGGCAATAAGCGTGCTGACAACCGTGTGTCTTTTGTGATCGGACAAGCCTGGGATTGCGAATTTTTTTGTAGAAATATTATCTTCGATGCACTTATTTATTGTAGACTGTTGATTCATTGATATATTTTTTTATCATTTCGGTCTTAAAGTGTTTGTTTTATTTTGAAATCCTGTGTACCTACATGTTTTAATACATAAATGTTTCATTTGAAAATAATAAAAGATCATTAAGCGATTACATTATCTGATATGATATTTAGACTGTCACCATAATTTTGGCAAGGATATATGATAAAGTAAAAAAATATAGGTGCAGTATAAACATTAAAACTGGAACTTTTTCTACGATACAACTCTATTCTTGTTAGTAGTACTGACACTACTTGATTTTGACGAAAGGGAAAACTGGGACTGATCGTATAGTTTCCTCAGACGAAAGGGTAAGCATTTCATATCATATAAGTAAAACTCTAGCAAAATATTTTTTATTTTATTAGTTTTATCCAGTATTGTACATCAGAATCAACTAACACGTAACCGTCCGTTTTTGTCTGGAGAAAAAACGGGTCCTAAATGTTTCGTGAAATTGTAGGTGAAAATTCTGGGTGTAATAAATCCTCCAAACCCCGATGTTCCCTTATGAAAAACTCCAACTCCTACCAACGGTACAGGTATTGCTGATTCTAAAGGTTGAGCATCAAAGAACGGTATCGTCGTTTGACCAGCATCTTTGTCGTAATCAGTATTCGCAAACTTTACATATTTATTCGTTGTAAACTTATCCGAAGGTAAATCAGAGCGAATAGGTATATCGACCCTATCAAGTATTAATTGTTTTGCAAATCTAAAAATAATGATTAGATATGTATTAATTAACTCGATTTGATTTAAAATTACTTGTGTTTACGACGAATATCAGGATCATCTTCTAAAACACTAAACCCGTTTCTAAGTTTACCTGATGTGAAATTGAACGGAGTTGCTTGAACCTGCAAATGTAGACGCGTACCGACTTTCCGAAACGCAACTCCTGTCACGATACTTCCTTCTTTAACCATAATGTCGGCTAAATCGAAATCTCTTTCCTCCCACTTAAGGGTATAGTAGTCTTTACCAGGATGGTAAGAGCTATTAGTGACTTTATAATCTTCAACAGGGACCCACCGAAGGGTGTCAAGATCAATCTGTCCATACGGAAGAAGTGTGCCTTCTTGTATTTGCAAATGAATGACTTGGCGGTTTTTGACAAAGCGCAAACCCGTCATAACTCTACAAACATACGTTTTATAAATTCAATTTAGTATGGTTCCGCAACGTACTTATTGTCGGTTTTATTTGACTCAGTCAAACGCATGTTGATGTACCTTTCTGAAAAGAATGGTGGTCCTTCTTCACATAGACAGTAACAATAGGAGCATTTATAGACCAACCAGTTTCGGTAAGTTTCCAAGCCAGTTGTTCTAGATCTGCTGCAACTCTTTCTTTTTCCAAAATGTCTTCCGTTTCCGAATTTGACGTAATCGTATCTTCTGTTGGTTTTAAACATGCCCTAGGCTCTCATAATTATTGGCAGTAGTATTAGGGGAATATACTTACTTCGGAACGACAAACCTCCATCGAGGAATCGATGTAGAGACAATTGATGATTTTTGGGCAGGTTGTTTGATGCTTACACCACTTATTATCATGACACTGATACTTTGTTGTATAAGTAAAAACGTCGCATTCCTCACTGCATCTTTCGTTTGGATCTAAATTTACTTTGTTTAAAATGATTCCGTGGAGGAAATTTGTGACCTCGATGTAAGTTTCGTCTAGAACAAAAATGAGATAGACCGTATAGTTCGAAATATATTCTCATTGGACTGTTTTAAAGCGATGACAGTGGTTAGGGGAAAAGGATGTCAAGGAACACATAGGTTAAAATATTCTAGATACTTCAGAAAAGAAGTATCACCCGTGGTTATTTTTTGTAAGAACTTTAAATTGGTATTCCATCTTTAACCAAGACATCTTTCATTGACTAAATTCAGGAACAAATTTTGATCAGAGTGTGTTTGTAATAATAAAGCTTTCATTGTGGTACAAGTAATATTTTCAATATCAAAACACTCAGGTCTAGAGACATTTATCACAACGCCCTAACAGCATTCATTTTAGACTTAAAATATATGGTACTAACTTTCTGGTAATGATAGACAAGCTTCACATTGTACATAAGTTATTTCTAATTTGTTCTGCATGTACCACAAAATTAGTTTTCAATCACCTTCAAATAACTTCATTATTTTTGTCTCTTGTATAAACATTTTTCCAAGAAGTCAATCGAAACACTTTGCTTACCAAATATGGTCAGAACTTACTATCCACCAGTCAAATATTTCTTACCCAAATATGGACAGTATGCCCAAAAAAACTGACACCTCTGTGTCGTGTGTGTGTTATGCCAGCCTGTCCATAGAATAAAATCATCAAGGAATGGTGACAGACTGCGACGACGAATTTGAATTCCGCTGTCGTTACAACGTCCTATCACGTTTCTCAACTAACACTATTTAAATTTGCCGCCACACCACCGCTAGAGCTTCATATTACCATCCAGTTACTTTATGCTTTAATCAAGAATTCTATTTTCTGTGTGTTTAAATTTGTGAAATTCAAATTTATTTATTTTGATTTGTAATGGTAACACTTGACTTCCTTTTTGAACACTGGGGAGCGTTTTTACAGCTGAGAAGAAAGTCCCTTATTAGTTTATTTCAAAAGTTTTTCCCCTTCAAAAATGAAGGAATAAACAATTTTTCCTCCATATTTTTTAATTTAGAGGCGCTTTTTCAGCTTTGGGGGTTATCACTTTGGATTTAAACGCATTTCGCTATAACAAAAAACACACAACGATTCTACAGTTCTAGGAGAAATTTTGAATTTTTCGCGAGTTTTACAATTTTGTTCACATACTTATCTACTTTTGGCGAGATGTTTAGGTTAGCACAATAGATAAAAACATCTTACTTTTGTACAAAAGGCATGTAGAAATAACAAATAAAAGTAAGTAATAAATAATTAAATCGCTCCAGAGTAACACATGCCCATCACTGTCAAATTTTAATCATTACTTTAAGAGAATCCATTAAAGCATTGTTTTCAGCTAAGGAGAGTGCTTTAATGTGATTCTAAAAACACAAATTTAGAAAAAAATATTCACTAAATTTAATTCATATATTCATATATGATTACCACGATTTCAAACGGATTCATTGTGGCCTTTCAAATACCGAGAGAGTACTACAATTCATAATGAAATGCAACCATGGATTTTTGAAGACTTATCTTTGATCGTCGCATTTTATCTCTAACTTTCATAGTGAAGATAATCTAACAAGAAGAAAAATCTATCAAAGACAACTCTACAAAAATCCATGGCTGCTTTTCGTCCTTTTTTTGTTGCTCTCTCGGTATAAACTGTAATTTAATCTTGCAAAGTACACTTTGGTTAATGTGTCAAATAAAAATCTAGACTGGGGCCTCCAGATTACAGTAAAACGCGTTATCTGTTTTACATCAATCAAAAGTGTTGTTATTTTTTCCACTTTGGTCCCTAATTCGTAATTATTAAATCAAATATAGAAATTCTAGAACAAAAATAACAAACTAATAATGATTTGGGAACAAATTACAAAAAACCAAAAAATAACATCTTATTTGTTAATGCTTTAAATGTCGCTCAGTTAAGACTTAATAACGTGTATTGCCTCCTCGAGCATTGATAACAGCTCGCATACTGTTAATCAAATTTCTAACTTCTTCTTGATCAATTTCTTGCCATTCTTGCGTTAATCTTAGTGTTAGCTCTGGGAGGGTAGTAGGAGGGTGCTGTAATGCTTTAATTCTTTTTCCCACTATGTCCCATAAATGCTCGATGGGATTGAGGTCCGGGCGTACGATTTCCACTTTTAGAATTTTGCGTTAATTTTGCGGGGCAGTGTAGAAATTAATTTGCCAGTTTTATTAAAAACCAACCAAATTTTTTTTTTAATTTCATATCATGTGTGAAATAAACTCTCAATAATGAGGTGCTATTTAAAATGTTCTACCTTATATCACAGTTTTGACATTTCAATGTCACTACACGTGGCTATTATTGTGTTCCTTAAATTTCAGAAAAATAAGTATGTTACTCATTTTATCGGTCAAGACATTTCGGTTTTAGCAATTCTGCGTAAATAATTAAAAAAAGATAGTAGTATATTATTAAAACACAAATCATCGTGGAGTTCAGAGCATTAACTTTATATTATTTTTTTTTCGAGATCACGTTATCAAATTTCTGGAAAAGATAAATAGATGAATTTTGATCGGTATTTCGTAATCACTAAGTCAAGCTTTTAGTGTCTCACCAAAATATCGGTGCATCTGTTATCTAGGTTCTAATCTAATAGTTCTAACGCATTTAAAAAGTTTCACTTTACAGATTTTTTTATATAACCAAGATGTGTAAGATTAAAAACATAAATAAAATATGAAATATGTACAAGTAAAAAAGCATTTTGCAATATAAGTTTCAAGCACAGTTTATTTATAAAAATTTTAAATAACAGCTTCAAATTACTAGTGGGGTTAAACAGACAGAAATTTTGGTTTACATTTTATACGACAATGTTAAAATTTGTCCAAAATTTCATGGTAATCACTTCACGTATTTTGAAAATTATCTTTTAATAATAAAATATACTATGACGAAAGTTTAATTTAAATTTTTTTATGCACAAAATTTTGAATTTTCTTCTAAGTATATCTGTAATCTATACTTATATAATAAAGCTGAAGCTTTTGTTTATTTGAACACGCTAATCTCAGAAACTACTGGTTCAGATTCAAAAAATCTTTTTGTGTTGGATAGTCCATGTATCATATCTACATATAAGCTATATAACATCACGCTACGATCATTAGGAGCGAAGTAGCAATGAAAAATTCGGAAAAACGGGAAAATTATTCCTCCTTTGACAGCTTCCGTTGCTTACGCTGCTTAAACGGTTAAAGTTACGTAAAAATCATGTATGACGAAATTGTTCCCCTCTAAAAGTTCTAAAGAAAAGTCCGCGACAGCATATGTCTATCTTTTAAGGTCGAGTCAGTATAACCTTTTTTATGGTAATGAAATTTGTTCTAAAATAATAATGCATTATGTGTAAAATTCTCGCGTCACAGTGTTTGTAACCGAACTTCTCCGAAATGGGTTGACCGATTTGTATGAAATTTTTTATGTATATTCGGTAGGTCTGAGAATAGGTTGTAAACTATTTTTTAAACCCCTAAGTGATAAGGGTGGACCACCCTAAACAATTTTTGTATATTTTTTGGACAAAATTTTTTATTTTTATTTTTTTAAGATTTGGCATCAAAAAATACACATAACCCTAAATTTTCACCTTTCTACCACCAACCCCCATTTTTTAATCGTCTATAAAATAAAAATCAATTGCTGTTCCTGTTAGTCTCGCTAAGACTCAAAAACGGCTTGACCGATTTGAAACATTTTGTATAAACATGGTTTATAAATAAAAAATAAAAGGATAACTTAAAAGAACAGTTAAAAAATAACAAAATTCTAAAAATTTTGTATGGGAATCGCCACTTCGAATTACTTTCAATAGTTGGCGTTTCTGACGGACCTATCGTCTAACTGACGTATCATACAAAACTAATTCTTCCGTGCGATTGTGAAAAGTATATTGCATTTCAAATCGCTCTTTGTTTTTTCGTAAAAAAAAACGTCGTTTATTTTAAGAAAAGTCTTGGTTAAAGTGAATTTAATTACACATTGCGAAAGTTTCTTATTGATTTTGATCTGCCATTCTATTTACCTATATTCACTTTGTTGGTTTCGACAAAACCTCAAACTTTACCGTTATTCGAGGATTTAATTTGAAGTTTTCAATATTTTAAAATTCTCAAGACAAAATTTATAGATTTGATTGACTGTGAAAATAATTCTGTGTCGTTTTATAAAGTTCATTAAAATGTCGAGAAGACGACGAGCTCACATAGGTCCACGAAGTCAATCAAATGTGCGACGAACTACAGGTGCAAACCGCAATGATTTATTTCATGGGTAATTCAGATATGGAAGTTGATCAGCGTGGTGCTCATAATCAACATAATCAAACATTGAAGCGAGACATTGGGTGGTATGAATAAAACTGAGTAGATACTCATATTCGGAGTACGAAGTACCTACTTGATTATTACTATTATATACCTGAGCATCTACTCTATGTACTGAGTACCTACTTGGAAACATTGTATCTCCCCGGACACAAACTGAACATCTACGCGTTTTGTGAGCATTTAATCTAGAAATGAGCATCGGCGTGGCAAATAACTGAGCTGTCTGTAAAGCTAAAGCAGCTTAGAAAACCAGTAGGATCGTTGTAAGAGTGAATTTTAACTAAACATGGTGAGTTTTATTTATATCAACCATTGTCAAAAAATTGATCGAACGTTGTTTCGACAGAACTTCCTTCGCACCAAAAGTATAATGAAACATTTTCGAGTTGAGTCTTTTCTTCACACAATTTTGTGATGACCTAATCAACATTTACTATCAACACGTATACCACCTTGGATTGGTGCAGTGTAATACTCTCAGATCATATAATAAATAGATACCAATACTCAAACTGAAAGCTGTGACTAGACATGAAGCTATCTGTTGTCGTTTTCTACGTCAAGAGGAGTAGTATAATGCTATCCTTGTGTGATCACCACATCTTCATCTTTGTTATATGCATTTCATCTGTATATGTCTATTTCACTTCCATCCTTGTACCGCACCAGCGCAACAAATCGCTTTTGACAGATGTTTCTTCTAACCTCTCTTTCGAGTTGTTGTACAAAAAACAATTTTAGAATTTAGAACAAAGATCCTATTTTAAGTGATGTAATCATAAAGGATCACAATTGCTGCCCAATAATTTACTATTCCTTTCATTATCTACTGTGAATTATTTATAAAATCAAGCTGTCAACATCTTTCGTACGAAGTTAGTTCAGTGGTTCAGACATACTTCCTAAAATTTAGGCGCGCAAAATTCAAATAGTGATCAGGCAAGGATAGCTTCATTGTAATCCCTCCATGCACGAGAGAGATGTGTGACAGGAGGATGTCGTCACAGGCTCTTCTAGGGAAAGAACACGGCATGGTGGTATCTATTCATTATATGATCTAAGGTAATACTAAAAATAATTGTATTGTATTCCCAAAATTATCTGCGAAAATCGAATGAGCCATTCCATCAATTTTTTGGGGGGAATAAATAAATATTCTTAACAATTTACCATGCTTACAATAACTTTAAAACGTCTGCAAGATCTCAAAGTATTCATTTTTGCAACTATTGAGTTATTCACTAAAATAAATTGACTGATCCATATATTTTTTTGAGTCACTGTAAAAACAAATCTAAAAAAATGAATGCAATGATAAATTACGAAAATATACTGATGATATTTTCCACATTTTAGATAGGATTTATTCGGCAAAATCTTGAGATGACGTCTTCAAGTTTTTGGGCTTGATAAACAGATATATTTTGATTGAAAACCTACCATGTCAAACAGGAACTTCAAAACGTCTGCAATATTTCAAAATTCAGTTTTGCAATTCTTGATTCAACCAATAAAATAAATTGACTCAGTGATTAATTTTTTTGAGACACCCCCTATAAGCAAAACTAAAAAATAATGATAAATCATAAGTATAGTCTCATCCTATTTTGGACATTTTAGATAGAATTCATTTGGCAAAATTTTGGGCTGACGTTATCAATTTTTTGGATGGGATAAGTAAATACAGGGTGTCTCAGAAATAAGTACATTAATTTTAATCAGTTATAGAGCTCATTGAACTCAACAACTTTTTTTAGTAGAGTTTTGTCAAGAACTTTTTAATTATCAAGTTAAAAATTGTTAAAGTTATACCCCAATTAAGGTTACCCGCCCATGGATTCTCAGTTACCCATGGTCACTAATAATTATTATAATTAATAATTTATGGTCAAAAACAGTTACTAGGGTACGTATTTTCCTAATCTTGTCAATGTGACAAACATTTAGAGAGAAATTGAAAATCCTGCTCCCTAATGGCGTACGGAATTTCATCGGCCCAAATGTGGGTGTTGAACACTTTCCCTCGTGTAACCGACCTCATCAGTTGATGGTATAAGAGATACAAAATTTGCTTGTTCGTTTGTTTTTCTATTAACCCACTCACAAAAGTTTTGCCTACGTGGTAAGTCTGTCAGTTTCAATAACTGAACTTTCTGGTCCTGAAAGGGGTACATTTGTTCTCTGAGTATCCTCCAAATACTACTCTCCGATACATCACACTAGACAGTGATACGTGCTAGTGCTCGGTCGATCTTCAACACTCTTCAAAACAGCCTCTTCAATATTAGCAATTCTATTACTACGTAACTTACCCCGATCCTGAGGTGCAGGTTTAAAAGATCCGTACTCTCGAAAATGCTGCAACGTTCTTAAAAGTGCGCACATTTGGCAGACGACGATTTGGGAGGTTTTCTGAAAAAATTCGTTGGGCGCGAGTGCCGTTTCCCCGAGCTTCACCGTACGTTAAAACGATATCGGTGCATTCCAAATTTGAAAACAAAGCCATTTCAACACATTTCGTCTATAAATTAGAAATCTGTGCCACACAAACTTTAAAGAGACAACGTTTAATAAAAACATTGACATAAAAATGATTGTCAGTGTCAAAACGGTTGCTACGGTACCTTCTTCATTGTTGTAGTGTTGCTATTATTTAAGTTATTATTTAAGGTGAACATAGACGGCTCGTGAATATATGGGTGGGAAAATTCGAAATTCGACTTGAGTTTTCGAAAAAATGCTAGATAAAAAAGTTGTTCCGTTTCACGAGTTCTGTTACTGGTTAAAATTAATGTACTTATTTCTGAGACACCCTGTATATTTTGAATAAAAATTTATTATGCTTATCATATATGTTTAAAACATCTGCAAGATTTCATAGCATTCGATTTTGCAGATTCAAAATTAAATTGTAGGTTAAACGGAGTTCACGGGGTCAGCTAGTACATTAATAATGTATCCATAATTTTGATAAACATTTTTGGCTAACGATTCTGAGAACGTCAGAAGTACTCTCCAAACTTTATACAGGATGTTTAAAGAAACAATATTTTATCAGTGTTACACTGCATGTGTTACAACCGATATATTTACCATCATCAGAAACTTGATTACGTTATTTTGAAGTTTTCTTGAGAAAATCTTATTCAATGCATGCAGTTATTTTTTTTATATAAATTTTCCGCCAAAGTTATCTGTATGCGAAAAAATTCTAACATACTTAGTAGTCTTTAGTAACTGGTCCAAAGTTAATATTTGATAATGTGCTAAGTATATAAACTTACATTTCCGAAAAAAATAAAACTGACAAAATTTAACTTGAATATTATAATATTTACCTTTAACATGATTTTGCGGATCACACCTCCACAGTGCCGATGAAGCTCTTTCCATGTAAGGCTTAATAGTTGCCACTAAATTGTTGGTTCTTCTTTGAAATTCTTCCCTAAGATCCTGTAACTCCATATTAAAATCACCTATTAAAATTAGTTTATTAATTTCAGAAGATAAATCTAAAAGTATGACGATGATGATAACATAAGACGTAAATCTTACCAATTTTGCATAATTTTTTGATCATGTAAGATGTATATGTGACTATGTAACCTTTCAAATTTATTATGAGTAGCTCATTCATAAAACTGTGTATTATCTGGGCAGTAGATTGTTTTCCTTTGCAAACAGAATCGCCGACAGTGACCTAAAGACAATATTTCTCTTTATATGGTTTAGATGGTGTTAAACGAACTTACGTCAAAACCTTCCAAAAAATCATCAAAGAAACCCGGAACTGTGACTTGTTGATATACCGATTCCATTAAAAACGGGATCGAGTTAGAATCACCAGACACTACACCTTCAGCAAAATTAATCAGAGCTGAATTTTCATACTTATCGATGTGTCTGAGATATCTTTCCATCTCTCTATAATAAACATTAAGGGTGATTTGCTTCATGAGGATATCATTTAACTTTAACTTTAACTGATGTGCACTCGGTAGATTTTGTAACATCCTTGCAATAACATTTATTTGTTCGCCTAAACTAAAACAATCACTGAACAAAATGTGAAAAAATAAGTTTCTTACTTTGAATAATTCGCTGGCTGATGTTTCCAATCTGGACTGTGATGGTATCCAAACTCGAACATACAAGTTTTTCCTTGTTTGCAACATCGCTTACGTGCTCAAACGTCGCGAATAAAGTCTCTGTGATTCCAGTAGTTGTCTTTGTATAGAGTTCGAAAACGGGTAACACGGAAACGGGCTCCACAAAAAGTAGGGATGCGATAATCAAGAACAGCAAGACAGCACGACCCATTTTTGCATTGTAAACTGGTTGACAATGAACTGTAGTGAGAGGATTTTTTAATATAAAAACAGTTATTAGGGCCGGTTTCTAGAAAGCGAATTAAATATTTAATCGTCGATTAATTTAAGAAAGGATTAAAATGTAGAATGTGCGTCCGAGATTGATTAAAACATGCCCGTTGCATACACACTGAGTTAAACCTCGAGATTACTTATCTTTGAAACGCAATAAGTATGTGATTGCGAATTATTTTGTAGAATCATCTAAATTATTTATTTTAGACTGTTGATTGCAAACATATTCAAATAAATCAATTTTATTATTATTATTATTTTTCTTTCTAATTGACAAGTGACATTTTTATCTGCCCAGCAAATGTCGGCGGAGCAAAACGGAGATAAGGTACAGTTCTTCCAGATTAAAGTGGTTTTTATGACAAGATAATAAACATTATCACCTCATTATTACCCCACGACGGACAATATGAGTTGAATAACAAAGTACGCCCCTGCAAGAAACCGACCACTTTCTTATTTATGGCTAGGAATTTACTCCATTATCCCCTTCATCAACTTCGACACAATGGACCTATCATAAAAACCACTTTAAACTGGGAACAATATAAATTCGGGAAATGAAGCGCTGTGAATTGTCGCTATTATTATTAGGAGCTTTTAATATAATAACTTTTTTGTAGTATGTGAATATTCTTACTTGATCAGGAAGGGAAATAGTAAGTATATTACATTATTAGGAAAGTAAACAGGATTTACCATGTCGAGCCAGAGAGTTTGGAAATCGAGGGAGCCTGCTCCCATGTATATACAAAGGTCCGTTTTTCTGAGGTTTGAAAAAAAAAATTTACAAGCTAGCTAGTTAAGAGACATTTTCAAGTTGAATACAGTGATTTGATAAATTGATGTTTACAAGTGAGGAACAAATTAACGTGTTTGTTCTATTTTGAAATCCCTGTGTACCTACATGTTTTAATACATAAAAGTTTCATTTAAAAATAATAAAAGATTATTAAGCGATTATATTATCTGATATGATATTTAGAATGTCATCATAATTTTGGCAAGAATATATGATAAAGTAAAAAAATAAAGATATAGTGCAAACATTAAAACTTGTCCTTTTTTGATGCAACTCTATTCTTGTTAGTGGGTACTGACACTGTTAATATCACTGCTTCAGTACCAAAAAATTCAACTTGATTTTTATACGAAAGGGTAAGCATTTCATTTAATTTAAATAAAACTCTAACTTTATATTTTTATTTAATAGTTTTATCCAATATTATGTAAATTGTCCCACAGGATAATTACTATTCTAAACATCAGAATCAATTAATACGTAAACGTCCGTTTTTATCTAGAGAAAAAACGGGTCCTAAATGTTTCGTGAAATTGTAGGTGAAAATTCTGGGTGTAATAAATCCTCCAAACCCCGATTTTCCCTTATGAAAAACTCCAACTCCTACCAACGGTACAGGTATTGCTGATTCTAAAGGTTGCGCATCAAAGAAGGGCACTGTCGTTTGACCGGCATCTTTTTCATAACCGGTATTAGTAAACTCGACTAACTTATTCGTTGTAAACTGATGCGAAGGTGATCTTGAACGAGTAGGAACATCGACCCTATCAAGCTGCAATTGTGAGTCGAATCTAAAACAGGTGTTCTAATCTCTATCAATAGATTAGATTTGTTAGCAATACCTATGTTTAAGAGCGATGCCAGGGTCATCTCTTAAAGAACTTAATTTGTTTGTAAGTTTCCCTGTTATGAAGTTGAATGGAGTAGTTTGTACCTGCAAATGTAAGCGAGTATCGACTTTTTTAAATGCAACCCCCGTTACAACACTTCCTTCTTCGGCCATAATGTCAGCTAAATCGAGGTGTCTTTGATCCCATTTAAACGTGTAGTAGTCTTTACCATCGCGATAAGTTTTGTCAAGGACACTGTAATCTTCAAGTGGTACCCAACGAACACTATCAACATCAATTTGTCCGTATGGGAGAAGTCTCCCTTCTTGTACTTGCAGATGAATGACTTTATAATGCCTGACGAAACGTAAACCGGTCACAACTCTACAAACTTGCTACATTTTATAAGTTCAAATCTGTATTACTCAATTACACACTTATTGTCAGTAACGTTTGACTGAACCAAACGCATGTTAATGTATCTATCGGAAAAGAATTTTGGCCCTTCTTCACACAAACAGTAACAGTACGCGCATCCATAAATTAGCCAATTTCGATAAGTTTCCAAGTGAATGGTTTTAGAGCTACAGTTGTTTTTTTCTCCAAAACGGTTTCCGTTTGTAAACTCGATATAGTCGTATCTTCTGTTAGTTGTAAATATGTTCTAAAGACTCATGGTTGTACAATTCTTAAAAAAATGCAACGTACTTACACTGGAGCGACAAACTTCCATCGACGAATCGATGTAGCGGCAGTTCATAACTTTCGGACATGTTATTTCTTCCTTGCACCATTCATCCTGACAATTATACTTCTCTGTATATGTAAAAGTGTCGCATCCATCACGACATTCTCTACGTGGATCTAGATTCATTTGGTTTAAAATAATGCCATGAAGGAAGTTCGTGATTTCAATGTACGTTATTTCTGGAATAAAGGTATTGTTGCAAGTAACTCTACATTTACATAAGTACGCCTGAAATGCCATAAGAAAGAGATTATAGTGATATGTGTGTATATATATATATATGATGATAGATGATAGAACTTCCGTCAAATGACTCAAATGTCTTTCCAATTAGTCGAAGAATGATAAATCAGTATAATCTATGGCCTTGTGAGCAGAATTAACGACTGATCAACGTGAACCCGTTTAACACTGTTTTTATGCAAGCCAGAATAGCAAGGACCAACTTAAAACCTACCTAAAATTTGCACTTTTTGCAACTTCTAAGAGAACCACACATAGTAAGATAAATAACGCTGTATGTTATTGGAAAGCAGACAGGGCTAAAGATACAGTATCATCAGTACCTACCAACAGTGAATTTGTACCTGGCGGATATTAGTGCAAAAACAGCATTTGACCGCGAGGCGTTACTTCAGGTACTCTTTCGCTGTTGTCCACACATAAAAGTCTTGTTATTAGTTTATATTATCCACTCCTCATTTTCTTTTTCTTCGCTCATGTCTTCTATTAGTGTCACGATGGTGTTCCAGCTTTCTGAATATTCGAGCGTTAACCTTGTTATGTTATTTTCATTTAGTTTTTGACGAATTCCCTCTTCTACTTCCTTTCTTTTACCTGTCCATTTAGTGCATAGAGCACTGCGTGTTTAGCCGAATCTACTACTTTCTACATTCCGAGCATTCTGGATTTCTACTTTCCCTATCCTATATCTGTACACCCAAAAGCCTAGTGACCGGTGGGAAAGTGGCTTAAATTTCAGTTGTCCTCCTTTTCTTGCTGTCCACTTGTCTATGTCGAGGACTATGGTTTTGCTACACACTGTCTTATACCTAGTATTTAGCTATTTTTCCATTTGCAATTTCCTCACTTTTTTGTATTTCTGTCAAATCGATATATACTTTTTCTCTCATTTATTCACAGTGCGATCGGCAGTTCTACCCTTGCCACTCTCAGTACTACCTTTCTTTGGGTCCTTTCCATTTTGGACTGATGCAGCGTTTCATCATTCCCTACACCTCAACACTGTATAACAAGGCAATAGATATTGCTGTTACACACACTATCTTCCTCTTACTGCTGCTTAATCTTGTATGAAGTATTGGGCGTTAGTTCAGATTCCTCGATCACGTTTTCTGCTTAATTCTCTGCTTCACTCGAATGCCTTACCTTCCATAAAACCGTACTAGCTATTTGAAAGACGTTTTCTTTTCCTTATATGCTCCAACAGTCTATTCGCTGAGTTTTTTATAAATATTTCCTGCTGTACCCAAGAGGCCAATCGGTCTAAAGCACCCTTCTAATTTTGCTTATTGTCCAAGTTTTTATGTGATTTCGGTATGCGAGCTCCCTCTTAGGTCTCGGACCTGCGAAGAGTTGCTTGGGGATAAGTGAGAATGATATATTAAAACGCGGGGAGATTTCGTTCCGTAGGTGGTCCATTAATGCACAAATAACGATCGACAAATAACGAGAGAATAGCTTGCCGGATTAACTTATTCTGAACTAAGTGGTGTTGTGTACACTAGTTTATCTTATCTGTACAGATACAAAAATATAATATTTTCTTGGGAGTTCTTTGAGTCGCGATTGTTGATAGTTGGGACTGAAGATCCGGAAAAAATTAACCCGATACAAGGGATCTATGTTTATTATATTAAGTATATTATTTATTATATTTATTACTTATATGTATTTATCTCACCTGTCATATTAAGTGCACATTGTTTATTTTTATCAGTTAACTGGAATAGTTGTTGGCCGCAGTTTCGCTTACACAAATTTCGCAATTAGGAGACCCGTATAACTCAAAAACTCAGAGGACTTCCAAACAAAATTGCATCCCCTATTGTACCCTCTTTGGGGTGGAATTTTTTGAATCAGCATGCCGAGATCCACGTCCCCGAATTTTTTGAGAATTTTTAGACAACTTTTTCAAAAATGAAATTTCCCACTATGTATGCAAATTTCGACCCATTTTCGATCATTTTCGAAATTTAACCAAACACATTTTCTTGTAGATTTCGGGCCGTAGAAGTCACTTCTGGCCTCATTGCTCAAACTTCTTTCTTGTTTCACGTTTCCATAACACTTAAAGCGGCACGAGCATGATTTAAAATCGAATTTTTTGAGTCATGGTGTAAATCACAATCTTGACAAAGAACGTTGTATGTGGACATCAATACTGCTACTGGAGCTTTGACTGCTACATTGGTACGGCTGTAAGAGAGCTTGAACAACGAAGCATAAGGCAGTCCAGGACGAGGAACATTAAACCGAAGGTAACCCAAGATAAAAGGGCAATCGATTTTACCATGGGCTAACTTATATAGGAAACGCAAGACTGTTAACATTCTTCGAGTTTCTAGAGAAGAAAATTGAAATCTATTCAAGAGAATATTGTAATCGATGCCACGTACAGGATAAGCACCGTCCATTCTGAAGGCGAGAAATTTTAAAAAACGTCGTTGCACTTTTTCAATGGACATATTATATGTTCTATAGATGGGGTACCAGATCAATGCACCATATTCAAGGTGAGGTCGCAGGGTATTCAAAATGGTCAAATTGGTAAAACTTCGACAGTTTCTATATATAAAACCGTAGATTTTGAATGCCTTATTGATAGCGTTAAACATATGCTCTTTAAACATAAGTTGAGCATCAAATAGGATACCTAGATCTTTGAAATTGAAATTGCGGAGTAATACTGTTCCTTCAATTGAATATGGGTATATGTTGTAATTGAGTTTTTTTTTTGTAAAGGATACAATACTGCATTTAGATAAATTTAGGCGAAGACGATTAAAACTACACCACTTGGATAGAACATTGAGACAATTTTATAACGGTGCACAGTCAGCAATTGACACGATTTCCATGAAGATCTTTAAATCGTCAGCAAAGAGCAATTTATTACAGGGTTCCAGGGCGTCAGTAATATCATTGATGTACATTAGAAATAAAAAGGGTCCAAGGTTGGATCCTTGGGGGACACCTCATGTTGAGACAAAAACTATAGATTTAAATTTACGATGTACAACTTGTTGACGCCTATTGAAAAGATAAGATTTCAGAAGAGCAAGAAGAGAGTTAGAGAAACAAAAGGTTCCAAGTTTCTTAAGCAGGACGTAATGATCAATTTGATCGAAGGCCTTCTGAAAATCCGTATATATAACATCAACTTGACTATTTCTATCTACCGCATTAGAGGCGAACTGAGAGAAACATGCTAGATTAGTAATGGTGGATTTTCCTTGCATAAACCCATGCTGATATTCAGAAATATAACTTTTAACAGAAGCCTAAATACGAGCATACAAGATGCTCTCAAATACTTTGAAAAAATTGCATAAGATGGATATAGGTCTACAGTTTGTGACTTGGGAGGGATCCCCTTTCTTTAGTACCGGACAGATTTGTGCCAATTTCCAGATATTAGGAAATGTAGATGACTTCAACATAATATTAAAGATAAGTATGTGAAAGCGGTTTGGAGAGAACATGGGCACAATCTTTTAATAAAAAACTTGGGATGCTGTCAGGTCCAGAAGTCATAGAGTTCTTTATTCGCTCAATTCTCCAAAAATTTCATCTTCAGATATATATGTAACCGATACTGTGTTGTTAACCTTCGTAAAAGTAACATCGTCTGTGAGAGGTGAAGAGTCAATAAAACACTTTTGAAGAAATCAGCAAAGGAGTTAACAATAATATTAGGATCAGAGTTGCATTCATTCGTTGTAAAACATTGTACCGAGAATACGCGTAACATCTCTCTTTGAGCGGACAAAGGACCAAAACTTTTTTGGATCCAGGGTAATGTTCTTTTCCATCTGCACTAGGTATTCAGTATGTGCATTAGCGATGAGTTTCTTGGCATCAGATCTAAGTTTCCGAAACTGGTCATGAAAGTACAGTTTATGAGTCTTCACATATTTACTACGCATGACCGATTTGAGTCGAAGACATTTTATAATTTCTTTGTGGAAGGAGGGTATATGCGTCGTGTTTTCTTGGGAGAGCCAACTTTGGGTACGCACAAATCAAATAGAGAATATAAGACAGTGTACATGTGTTCACAGGCGTCATCGACATTGCTAAAATTGTATATATTGGACCAGTCATAATTTAATAATAAGTCATAAAGGCAAGAAAAATCAGCTTTTCTAAAATTAAAACCAGCGTCATCAGGGTTAAAACAGAAATTGTTATTTTTCTTGCAAGGCACCAAATCAATATGGAATAATAATGTAGGATGAAGTGGATCTTCTGGTACCAGGAAAAAATCAGATCTCAAAACGGTGCAGGAAAACGTAGAAAATATAAGGTCAAGCAAACTGTCGTAGTTATTCAGAACATGATTATATTGGCTGAAGCCGCAAAATAGTACAAAGTTATTAAGGCAATGACTGAAGTTATTGTTTAATTCGGATCCAAACTTAGGAGTGTTAAAATCACCTACGAAGAAAACAAGATTGTTATCGATTTGATCAAGACTGCTAACAAGATCAAAGAAATCCACATAATCAGTAATAGATACAGATGGAGGGATATAAACAGTAAAGATAAAAAAATGCAAGTAATTGGAGAAAAAGATTTTTGAATTCCCACAAAGTCGATGGATGGAATAGCGTTGGTAATATTGGAAACGTCAACTGTACAACACGAAAACTTGTTATTGATGGCAATCAAAACTCCGCCGTCTCTGGCAACACCCAGATGTTTATACTTTCGATCACAGCGAAAAATGCAATAGTTCTCAGGGAATAGTTCTGAATTTGCAACGTCCTCATGCAACCATGTCTCAGTAAGAATTAAAACGTCAACCTCGTCAACACAAGATGATAAGTTGTTAGAAAATGAGTCAAATTTGGAGTTTAAGCCTCTAACATTCTGATATAAAAAGCTCAGAGTCGTAGTGGTGAAAGTACTATTAAGTGAAGTGTTTTGAATTAGAGAATTGGATGCCGTTAGACGTGAAACTAAGTTATTTTTACTTAAAATTTGGGAACGCAGACGAACCGATTGGAATAAACTGAGGTTTACCGTGCATAGAAGCTGAATTATTGATCGGAGTGGTATATATTTCATTTCTAGGAGCTGAAATATAATATTGAGATCTTATCGGAGAAATAGGTGCAGTATTTAAGGCATCAACATTGCCTCGAGATAAGTAATTAAGAAGAGAAAATATTATAGTTCTCTTAGTAGCGTCATTGATGGAAATATGATATTGAAACTGTCTAAATATAAATTTATTTGCATCAAGGAAAAATATATTATTATGCGTATTAGATGTTCCAATTTTATGTAATTGACAATAATCCCGATGCAACGATCTTACAAAAATACTGGCTAATAGTCCTCCTATATCTTCACAAATACAATTCCCCATGTTAATTCCGTATGTCCAGACTTGGATGCGACACGCTGTATATAGACTACATAGGCTCAGCCAATACCCCGATGACAGAATACTACTAGCAAAATGAATCAAGCCAGTGATAACTAACACGAGTGAAAATTCGAGAAAACTCGACATTGCACCTCTTCCACCACGAGAAGAAGATCGGCCTGGGATGCGTTGGTGTTCTTCTTGATGTCTCGGACCATGGAAAGGAGGCGTCACGACAAACTGGACTTTATTATATGGACTAACAGAATTGGTGTCTGATTCTGGGAATTTGGAGGCATAGTTCTGTGTGAGAGTCACCTGACAGGTAGCAAGAAAAAGTGAAGAAAAGTAACTAAGTACCTTTCGTGGGCACTGCATGTTTCTGTTCCCCATAAGCGCTAAACTATACGTACATTAGCATGGATAACTTCCACGGCGTACCCTCCACGTACCGCCCCGTTTCAGCCTCGCCGCCTCCCCAGAAACCACAGCAGCACCGTCCAGCGAGGCCACAGGTGACCTACGTTTCTTTGAAATATTGAATTTCTTAGAGTACTCCAGAGAGCTGGAGTCCGAGCAACCGCAGCCGTACAAAGTGTCAACCTCCGTAACGGTATCTATGGGTTCATCTACAAAAATGAAGGTCCATGGACCATCGGAACAAACCCTAATTACCTGGTAAACGAGACCAACTAAAAACCGTCTCCTACCACAGTCAGAATAAACTTTTTCAACCTCACAGACCCCCCAGTAGCAGTAGCAGTATCGGCCTTATTGCGGCAGCTTGACCTTCAATAAATTTTATAAGCCGCTACGCTGTCTGGAAGGAGGAAGTTCAAGCCTTTATTTTTTAATACGGGATGAAAAATTTTACTACCATGCTATCAGAGTAATTCTATTCAAGGTGGGTACCTTGGAAGGTATCCAGAAGTAGCCGTTACCACCGATCCGCCTCTGTAATAGCTGCAGAGATGTACATCTAGATAACTGAATACGCACCAGACACAACTAACAGAAGGACGGAATAGCTAGCCAAATAGTATTGGAGAATTTCAAAATTTGTAGAATCATCACCATCCTTGAAGGAAACAACCCCAAAAAAGTCACCACTTGAAAAAAGAGAATCTTCTAAAGTAAGGAACACTGCACCGTCATTCCTTAGACGACGAGATCGAAAATTACTGGTACCATTTCGAATTGATAATTTAAAGCCACAGGTATTGATCAAGACAGAGGAACACCACTTGAGGTGCTCTGTTTTCTAAACCAATGTACAGTTTCAGTTTTTCTTTGAGCCAGTTATAGAGAGATTCCGAGATAAAGCTCGGTACTTCATCACTGAAGACTATGTTTCCAAATTCGGTTGGGCTGATCTCATACTTATGTCCAAACTTCACCGACGGTCTTCTAAATAGATTTTTTTCTGTTATAAGATTCCCCAACGTATTAATTGTAAATCTGGAACAAACCTCGAGAAAAAGCAGACCTCCAAGCATCTGCAATATCATTTTTATCAAGAGACCATGTAGCTTCATCATCACTTGTCAAGATGCTCCTGAAAGACTCTCCATCAACATAGAAGAACTTCTACCCTTTCGTTCTTAAAAAGTACAAATTGGACAGTGACGAAAATGAACTTTTTGTTCCTCTACAACAAAAAGGACCTTTGCGAAAATAACAAGATTCCTCTTGATTTTGGTCTTGAATGGGGAACATCCTTCCAAAGTAAAACCACTAGAGTAGGTACTCAAGACTCAGCTAGCTCTTTAAGATTAGCTACTCAAAGATGTAGAAGGTAAATCGCTGTTACAGTTTTTGCTAGCAGCGTAGGTACATCACTAGTTACTTTCTAAAGTAATCGAGTCGCTAGTGCAGCAATGTCTTTATTCGACATATTATTTTTCACGTATCAGTGTGTTATCGCGTTAACGTTACTGTTATGCGATTATTCGTTTATGTTTGTTATTCGCTTTTATCAAACCGTTTAGAAAAACACTTAACTCTGTATCTACTTTTTAGTTATACAGACTAGTAGATGTGTAGTTTGTTGATTATATTCATTTTGTAGACACCGTTAGTGACAATTCAAACTTTGATTATTGTCACAAAGCTATTTCATGAACTTACTAGCACTTTTATGGCTATAATTAGTAGATTTTAAGCATTTCACATACTAATGATATGTAAAGGAAGAAAATCCGTGTTGGTTGAAACACTACGAACAGACACTATTTACCTTTTTCATGATGGTAGGGGTCACACCTCCACAATTCCGTTGAGGTTTTTGCCATGTAAGGCTTTACAGCTAACATCAAAGTGTTAATTCTCTTTTGGAATTGTTCACTAGTGTCTTCTATTTCTTTGGAAAAATTACCTTTAACGTTGAAGTTATAGGTTGAGAAATACAACTGAAATAAAACGAAACCTTAACCTTACCACTTTTGTACAAATTTTTGATCATATAAGCCGCACATATGACAGTATAACTCTTCACGTTCAATACAAGCAGTTCATTCATAAAGTTGTGTAATATCTGAGCAGCTGATTGTCCCTCTGTGCAAAAATAGTTGTTCATAGTGGGCTAAAAAATCTTTTATTGGCAACTCTCTACACAGGGTACACATTTTACGTCAAAACTTTCCGAAAAAAGATATAAGAAATCTTGAGATGTTACTTGTTGATGGATCGATTCTATCAGAAATGCGACAGAATTAGACATATTGGACACAGCTCCATCAGCAAAATTAATCAACGTTGAATTTTCAAACTCATCAGCATCTCTCACATACTTCTCCATATCTCTATAATAAATATTCAGGTAGATTTGCTTCATATGTATCTCATTTAACTTTAATTCAAATCGAATATCATCTGGTAAATTCTGTGCCGTCCTGGTAATTATATTTACGGTTTCGTCTGAAGCAGTTATTGAACACACTATCAGAAAAATAAGTTTCTTACTTACCAGCTTGGTGAATTTTTTCATTTATTTCTCCAGTCTGAACCGCGATGCTATCTAGGCTCGAAAATAAAAATTTTACTTTTTTATTGGTGGGATCAGCTGTGTCGGCAAACTCGTTCAAACTCACAACTGTTTCTAACAGACTTTTTGTGATTTCGATAATTTTAACACTTAGTTCGAAAACTGTCAAGACGGGGGTAGGTGCCACAAAAGGCAAAGATGCAATAGTAATCAAAAACACGACAAAACCACGCATTTTTGCACCTAAATTTGTAAAGTTGAGCAAATTCTTTAGGTGAAGTGTGAGCGCTATATTTATCAAAACAATTGGTTATCTGGCGAGATTACTTATCTTTGAAGGCAATTTCACTATTTGGAAAGACACTCAGCTTCAGTTTATTGAAAAACATGATCTTAATGCACTTTCTTATTAATATTCTGTATTTTAATTTCAACATTAGGAGCGTTATTCCTATATCTTAATATATATAAATCTCGTGTCACAATGTTTGTCTTCAATGGACTCCTAAACCACTTAACCGATTATAATAAAATTCGCACACCATGTGCAGTTCGATCCAACTTGAGAGATAGGATAGTTTAAATCTCAAATTATAGTCGCAATTTTAATTTATTGCTAATTATTTGTCTGTTATTATTTGACAGTCACAATTATCTGTTAACTCCAAATGATTCTAACAGATGTCGATACCTTTCGACTGGGTTGAGTAAGTAATCAACAGATGGCGCTGCTATGGTAAATCTACGAACGTGTCATATAAGCTACATTTTAACAGCATAATTACCACGTGTTGTTGACGCTATAAAATTAATTAAATTTATTTTGTAGTGAACGTGTCTGTTATTATTTGACAGTCACAATTATCTGTTAACTCCAAATGATTCTAACAGATGTCGATACCTTTCGACTGGGTTGAGTAAGTAATCAATAGATGGCGCTGCTATGGTAAATCTACGAACGTGTCATATAAGCTACATTTTAACAGCATAATTACCACGTGTTGTTGACGCTATAAAATTAATTACATTTATTTTGTAGTGAACGAAATATTGTGTTCAACGTACTTCCCCTTCAAATCTCAATCCAGTGAATTTGTATAGCAACATCAACATTTTCGTCTTTGTTCGTAAATAATTTCATTGTACTAAAGGGTTATAGTAGTAGAAAGTCAAATAAGGAGATCACCATATTTTTTTACAAATACCATCTGTGTGAAAAAGCATAGTGGACTCCGTGACTGATGTTCTCTTATTGTTCCTCTTAGATTGTTTACTATAATGTAATATAACAAAAACTTTAGCCACAGCAACGCGTGGCCGGGTCAGCTAGTATATATATATAATCAAAAACCTACAATACCCGAAGGTGTTAGGTATATTACATCATATTATTCATGGACATGTCCTTCGTACACCACGTTTCTCCACTTTTTCTTATCTTTTGCGAGCATCCTGGCTTCCGCCCACCCTACTCCTTTCTGCTGCAGAATTTTCTCAATATTTTCATTCCACGTTACGGTCGGTCTTCCTCTTGGTCTTTTGTGCTGAACTCTAGATTCCCATACACTTTTTACTGGAGTCTCTCTGTCCATTCTGATTAGGTGTCCATACCATCGTAGTTGGTTCCTTTCTATTTTATTCACGATCGGTTCTATATCTAGTTCTTTCCTCACTTCTACATTTCTGATTCTATCCATTTTTGTTATACCCATTACTCGTCGCAGAAATTTCATTTCCATACTTTGTATTTGGCTTTTTATTTTCTTTGTTACGGTCCAACTTTCACTTCCAAATATAAGTATTGGTGTAAAAACAGCTCGGTACACGCTCATCTTCACTTTCCTTGATATTTCCCTCTTTCCTATGAGTGTATTTTTAATACTGTGGTACAATCTTGCTGCACTTTCGATTCTCGCCTTGATTTCCACCTCCTGATTGCCATTGCTGCTCAGCAGTACTACTAAATACTTAAAGGTTTCCTCTTGTTTTATAGCTTTTCCATCTATTTGTACGCTAATGTCATGACTAGCTTTTCCCATTACCATGACCCTAGTCTTTTCTACATTTATTTTCAATTTTCTGTCCATTAATGCTCTGTTCCAGATCTCAACGTTCTTCTGTAGCTCCTGTTCCGCTTCCGCGAAGATCGCCAGATCATCTGCGAAAGCACATTGCTTGTAAAAAAATGGGAGTTTTATTCGGAAAGAATTCTTAAGTTGGAGATTGAGACGGATAAGAAGCAAGAGATTAATATAATAATTATTTATGGACCTAACGAAGATGATAGAGTTGCAGTAAAGGATGAATTCTGGGCAGAAGTAACGGAAATAGTAGATAATGCAAAAGACAGAACGATTATACTAGGGGACCTTAATGGTAGAGTAGGACGAAGGCTTAATGATGCCGAAAATGTAATAGGAAAACACGGAGAAAATATAAGAAATAAAAATGGAAGAAGGATAATCGAATTTTGCACCCAAAATAACATGCTTGTAATGAACACGTTCTTCCAGCATAAGGAAATTCATAAATATACTAGAGTACTTGAAAGTAGAAATGAAAAATCTATCATAGATTATGTTTTAATTAAAAGAAACTTTAGACACGTAATATAGGATGTAAGAGTGAAAAGAGGGGCTGAAATTAATAGTGATCACTTTCTAGTCCAAGCGAACACGAGCATTGGTTATACTAAAGACAGAGCTGGAGAAAAACCTAACCCACCAAAGAAAGCACCAAAAGTAAAATTAAGAACATACAAATTGAATAATCCTGAAGTAGCACGAGACTATAGAAATATAATAGAAGAAATGATAGAGGAAACCGATACTGAAAGGTTGAATTGTCAACAAACATGGACAGTATTGAAGGAGGCGATGTGTAAGGGTGTGGTACGATCATGCGGAACAACAAAGGAAAACCCAAAAAGGAAACAAACTCATTGGTGGAACGAAGAAATTAAGAACGAAGTGAAAATCAAGAAGAGGATGTGGAGAGAATACCTGCAATGGAAAACAAATGGAAGTTATAATAAATATAAAGAACAAAGGAACAAAGTAAAAGAAGTAATAAAGAAGGCAAAAGAAAAGTCTTGGGTAGACTTTGGAAATAAAATGGAACAGGATTATCATACTAACCAAAAGCTCTTCTACAGAATTCTGAAGAGTTTACGAACAAACAAGAAAGAAGAAACAATTAAACAGATAAGAAACGCAGAGGGTATTTTGCTGAAAAAGGAAGAAGAGATTATGGAAACTTGGAAAAAGTATTTCGAGAAACTACTGAGCAACGACGAAACTGACAGGTCCGTCGAAGTGGTGGGAGACGATAAAGAATGGGGACAAGAAGCAAAAATAGAGATTAATGAGACGGAGATGGCAATAAAGATGTTGAAAAAAGGTAAAGCTGCAGGATATGACCAGATAACGGGAGAAATGCTGAAAAATCTGGGCAGAAGTGGGTTGAAATTGCTCACAGATGTATTCAACAAAGCAATGAATGAAAACACAATCCCGAAAGATTGGGAAGTTGGAGTGATAATACCAATCTTCAAGAAAGGAGACAAGACTCAGTGCACAAACTATCGAGGTATTACATTACTCAGCGTGGCGTGTAAATTATATGAGCGAATTTTGGAACAGCGGACAAGAAGGATAATTGAACCACAACTTGATCAATCGCAGAGTGGATTCCGGAAAGGAAGAAGCATCCAGGACCATATCTTTACAATTAAACAACTTACGGAAAGGGCGAAAATAACAAGTAAAAATATATATGCAGCATTTATCGATATAGAAAAGGCTTTTGACAGGGTGCCAACGTCCGCAATCAACGAAAGTATGGTAAAGAGAAATATAAGTACAAAATTGAGACAAGCAATTATGAGCCTATATAGAACAAATAGAAACTATGTGAGGACCGATAACATGGAATCAAGAGAGTTTGTAGTGAAAGAAGGACTAAGACAAGCGTTATTCCTATTCCTCCCAATGGAACTGGCACTATTAATGTTACTAGTCGAGCATGGAAAAAAGGCATGAAGAAGATGTTTAAGCCCTCGTGAGGACGACAAACTTAAAAGCCTGACGGTTATGATCTAAGGGTTTGTGTGTACACCAATTATTTATTTCTAATAAACTACAGGCTAGGTTAGGTTAGTAGGTCAGATCTGGTTAAGTCAGGTCCATGGCTACTTATCCATCGCCAAACACGTCATATCTGAAACTTGCTGGGCGGTACACTCGTATAGTGCCATCATGACCTGACTTAAAAACCTGCTCATCAAAAACACTATGTTGTCCCAAATATTAACTGAATTTTTGTTTCGTCGGCATACTGGTGGCCATGAACTGGGAAAACTGATTTCAAAAACTGCATCCCTTGCATTGTGAAGCGGTTTTTTTTTTTACAAATGATTCTGTAGTGTCCCGTTTTGAAATTATATTTAGCGCCAAAATAAGGCAAGAATTAACTTCTTTCCTAGATTTTTCAATAAAAATGTAGCGGGGATCTTTCATCTCCTCACTAGACGGGCGGGCGGATTCAATTAGTTGAAGAGAACGACGTAGTCTCCATTGTGTGGTCTCCAAAGTGTTTGAAATCTTGTATACTTCACGTTATTGGTACACTTTAACCAAAGGGTAAACCTGCAGGAAGTTAAAGGGACACCATCATTACCCCCTGTGTAAATAATATCAGTTGATTTTATTAACATTCGTCTATCTCATGTTTTACGAAACGACGACCGGAAATTCCACACATCGTTTAGAATAGCCACTTGAAATCACTGATCATGTAGTGGATTTTCCAGGACATGTTCGGACTTATCTGGATAACATTGTTGTTTTGTTTCATGCAATCTCTAGAAATTATGTCCTGTGTCCAATTAATTTGGTCACCAGCTTTTGCTTTTGTCTTTATTTTCTATGCTATGTGTTAAAACAGTTATTATGGGACCGATTTAACTTTCCTTCACGTTTTTATAATACATTTTCGTATTTAATTCAAAGTAAAGCTTCAGTGTTTGATACCCTTGTGAATGTGATATAAAATGTTTTTGATGAGATTTGTTTTGGTGCTGAAATAATTATTGCTGCGATGCACATGTTAACTTAAAATACGTATTAGAAATTCACTGATGCAAGGTTAATATTTTAATTTTGGTATGTCTAAAGGGCTGGATAGTTTTTCCTAAGTTATTATTTAGATTTAATAACTTCTCATTCGAGATTTTTGAAATAGTAAATTACAAAATTCAAGATCTGAGTTTAAACGTTGATCTGTTTTGAAAGTTATTATCAGTTGGGTAAATGCCATGTGGATTCGAAGACGAAATGTGTTGTCCGAATTGAATTTTGACTATCAGATGCGTAGAAAAAGGTCCAAGTGAACACTGAAAGACACGGTGATACTGAATGCGAGACGTGACAAATTTTTTAAACTTCAAACGTCAAAATGACAATAAAGCATAGATTACAAATTTTCAAAATGACAGAAAAATGACGTCCAAGATTTTCTAGCCCCGACTGTAATTGCAACTTATAAATGTGGAGCCAAAAACATAAAAATATGAACAAGAAGAAACGGATTGGGATTACGAGTTGAAAATTTGTGGATCAAAAGTTACTGTCTAATAATTTTGTCTACTGAACACGAATCACCTGCTGCCACTGATTTTCATCGGTGGCATCAAATTTAGCCGTTATAAAAGCAAGAAAAGTAAAATTTTAAACTATATTTAGTTTTGTTGTTGTTATATTAATTTTAAGTTTTATATCATTTTATGCATTATGCTTCTGCTAGCATTTAATCGAAAACTTTTCCTTTGGGCCACAACGTAATATGTGTGCTGACATCCTTGAATTGAAGATGCCATGTCAATTCAATCTCAGATATGTTTGTTTATCAAAAAGGTTAAATCTCTCACTTGACATGCAAGCGGAGTAATGTTTGAGTTACTTATCGGATTGGGGATCGCAACGGCTGTTTAACAGTCTTTGACAGTTTTTGTGTTACCAAAATAAATATTCCGAAAGAAGTACAAAATAATCAACAGTGTCATGTAATCAACAAACTGAGAATAATTTTGGTTAGATCTGCAAGCAAATTTCAACAGAATTGAACGTAAGCAAAAATAAACTTGTCAATTTTGTTGAACTAAACATAGCAGTTATGAATTTGCCTACACTCTCTAAGGTCAAAATTTACTATCCATGAAGCTTGATCACGTAGGTATACTGAAATTTGAGAAGAATAATTTTAGAAATTTCTGAGTTAGTATTATTATCAGTATTTACAATCATCATGTTTTGTGTTTTTCACTTGCTTAACAGTGTCCTCGAAACATTATCGAAACTTTTCATATGTGATCTTTAATAATAATCAGCCAATCAAACATATCATAATTACCTACTTTGAGCCGAAAATACTTTTTATTTCCACGTATTATCTGTTTTGACATGTATTTTACTGATAAGCGTATTGCGATTGCGTCAATAAAACTTCCTTATTTATTTATTTGTTATTTCGTAATACTGGGACTTCCCCTGATTGAACAAGAACAACTAGCTTTGTACCAAATAATCCAAATATACTGTCAACTAACTATTGAACTTAATGAGAAAAGTTTGTAGTGCAATTGTAAAAATCTACGGTAATAAGACACGTTTACCTGATACTAATTAATATTGCTTACGTAGACAAGTGAGTGTAGATAAAAAATCTTTGGTCTCAACACTTCTCTTGTTTTAGTACAATTTTTACTTCTCGGCTTTTATCTCATACTTGAAAAGTATAAATATTAAATTAAAAATTAAGAATAATAGCCGTCAGACCACATAATTTTTACAGACACTAATCTTCAGCGTCGTGTGGGAAATGAGATCAATATTTTTGGTTGCCTATATTTACATTCGTTTTAAATTGTTTCTCATGAACTCCATACTCTATTTATTTATTTTTTTTTTATAACGATGTGTCGGAACAATTCCTGTATTTGCAATATTCGTTGTGTCTTTAGTTTTGCAAATTTTCCCAATTCTCACAT